ATATATATTTATTGTATTTATTGTTTATTTAGTGATAGATTAATACTTATTTGGTAAACTTTACACATATAGAGGAATTATTATTAATTTATTCGGCTATGGTTTGAACATCTCCCATAATATTTAAAGAAGTTTAGAAGAAGTGATTCATTACACTATCTACCTGAATTTTTTTTTTATCATTATCTAAGGTCTATTTATTTAAATACAAAATTAATTTGTAATCAAATCCCAAATATATGATTTTATTTGAGACGAGGATATTTAAGTCAAACTAAATTTTATTCCACCTCTTTACTAAAAATAGTGAGAGATGTATTTTTAAAAGGCTTTAATTTCGCTTTAGTTTAAATGCAATCCTATTAGCCTTATTTCAAATCTTATAGAATCAAATTTAGCGGTATTTATCTTTAAATTAAAGATATTGACTTCTTATTTAATGAGAAATTAAATTGCCTCATCCTTTTGTGAAGTCATGAGTCTTTCAAGATCAATCCATTTCAGGGTACTCATCTCCTGCCGATAGCTATATTTTCAAGGAGATAATGAAATCATCAATAACCAATTCAGTTGGATAATCCTAATCGATGAATTATGGAATAAGGCATAGAATGTTAGATGAATATTTGAAGGAATTTGGTAATAAAATGTATTATTTAGTTTTTAGGTCAATATTTTGTAAGGATATTCAAAAAGATAAATTTTACTTTATAATATCCGCTCAATAGTCCCATAAATTACAAGGTTAGATTATTAATAAATTTCCAAATCATTATCAATTATGCTTGACTTAAAAAACCATCTGAAATTCAACCAGATTTCGATGCACCGCAAATATAAAGATCTACAAAAGCATATTAAGCTTTATTTCAAAAATATTAATACTCATTTATAAATTAAGTTCTATTGGATATCATTATTAGTATAGCTTTGCAAAAATGGGTTTAAAATGATCATAATAATTATTTATCATTTTCCATTGATTGATTCGGCTATTATTAAGAATAATGAGAATATTAATTCTTTTTTTAATTATTTCTTAGTTCGATTTGGAGCAGCAAATAAGTGTAATTATTTTACATAGATTTATCACTCAATAAGCCTAGTCAATATCATTATATCTAGTAATATATGTATAGGTTTTTCCAATTCTGCAACTCTTTGATGCGTTTTAATTACGAGACACTTTAATCTTCTAATATTTTGCCTTCAAAATAAAAATTAATAAGTTATATTTATTCTACGCTTTGCATGCTATAATTGCGGTCAAAACTATTGTCTCTTGTGCTAATATATAAAAAATGTGAAACTCCTTTGATAAATCCCAAATATTTAAAGATCTTTTCTGTAGGTAAACTCTATTTGTAAAGGCTAGGTATTCAGTACAACATGCTGTGGTGAAAAATTAACACTAATTATATAATTATCAAAAGCATTAATTTCTTTGCAGGACAGAAGGATTTAGAGTTAAGCCATTGAAAAGCTAATTCACCATATATTCTGCAATATAACCTATCCTATAGATTCCTAAATGTAGGTCTGCCAAGGCTTTATCCCAAAACATTATTGTCTCTATCTTTAACATTAATTCTTGTAATTAATGTCAAAATTCTTTAAAAAATTCAACTTTTTCATCTATGATATAAAGGTTCTCCAAATGTTTACAGTTCATGCTTTTCATAATTAGCCAGCAATTTCTACTTAATTGATATGGTTTTCAATCGAATGAATTTTAGGAAGGCTTTGGTTAGTATTGAGTTTCAGCTTCTTTCTTTTGATTCCCTTATTAAGTCATTCTCTAGATTCATTATTCAGTAATAGCTAACTCAGATCAATCACTCTTCCTTGGTTTTCTTTACCTTTTTTAAAATACAACTTATTACTTGCCTTATGAATAGTATCTTCAATTTTCTCTCACTTTTATTATCTATCGAATAAGTTTGAGGATTAATTCATTTTAGTAAGTGACTATTATTATTATGTGAACTAGTCATTAGCTTGTGTGGGAAGACAATCTCAAGCTAACATATCAAATATCAGCTCCAAATTACCCTTCATATAGCGAAGATGCTTGATTGCGTCTATCTCACTATGAAAAAAGCCTGCAACACTAAGAGCACATTACTAATTTAAAACTTAGATGAAGTACCATACATCCATAAAATCATACCTACAAAATATACTTTGCCAATTTCCACTAACCTTGCATCTTATCCTCATCATCACTTATTATCCTAAACTATTCTCCTACTTTATCCAAACCCCTATTAATACCGTTCACACTTAGTGTAATAGATAGCTATCATATCTCATTACATAATACACCATTTAGTTCCTTATCATCCTATCTCTATTAATGGTTTCTTGTTGGGATTTCCTCCCAGTCATGGATTGCTACTGAACATTTAATGTTCTCTTTTAATGTTTAAATTCTTATTTATTAAAAATTTGATTTTGCATTATGATCTTTTCTGACAGTTTACTAAATATTTAAAAATACTTTTTTTATCCCCTTTCCTTACATCAACCTTAGGGCTAATAACTGCTGGAACACATAGTACCTTATGTTTGACCAATCCTCAATCATTCGCAGGCCTTATTTTAATTCTTACATGATCTTCACTATAACCTTCCTGAGGACAACACACACTTTGATTTGTCTTTCCAAAAATTCAATCATTTTCTGATAGATTCCTTATCCAAGAATAAATCCTAATCATTTTATTCCTAAACTTTGTTTCCAATTTAACATAATTTTGTGATTACTCAAGACTTTAGACTCTCTGAAATGACTCTCCTAAGACGATATCTTTCTAAATTTCTCTCTTTAGAGGTTTCTTCCTGAATTTTTTGGACTATACCTTTGCCAAAGATATCTAAATTAAGTAAATTCATATTTTCAGGTCTATTTATCCATTAAAAATTCTTCATTAAATTCAATAACATTAACCTCTTTTTATAATTTTGCATTAGGTTCTTCTTGTGTATAATCGAATTGGTTGGTTTCCTGCTTCCAGTATACCATCTAATACAGTCTTTTTAACCTTCTTCGAAATTGAGGTATTTCAAAATTATTTAATTTATTTTACTGATAATATATCTCATTTGATGGAAGCGTATTTCAATTCCTTAAGATTTGCTTAGTATTCAATGAATAGAGAGGTGCGCTTTATTTGTTGAAGACTTAATTAATAATAATTCAGTGCCCAAGCATTTAAAACCATATTAAGAGGGGTTTATCTTCTAAAGCGATTTCTATATGATTTCAAGCAAATATTTTTACAATGATGAAAAAGTCTTCCCTCTATTTTACCAACTTAGCTGAAAGTAGGTTGTGCTCCTTAATATAATCTATGTAGGTAGAGAAATCCTTTTCTCTACTAATACTCCCAAGTATATTTGGATTTTATGAAATTAGATCTACTAGAATGGAAGCTGAATTCGAAGGCTTCAGGGTAAATTTGCTAATTAAAAATTTATTAAATTATTTGCTATCAGCAAGATATTATATAAAGCACATTTGGATATTTTTTTATGGATAATTTCAGCAGTAATTCCAAATCTGATTCATTTTAATAATCAAATTTTTTATCATTCTTGGTAAAGCTTGAAAAAATTGTAGCAGGATAAATTTACAATTAGAAGATTAAAGTGTCAGGTAATTAAAATGCATAAGGTAATCAAAAAGTTGCAGAATCCCCAGTATATAACCAAGAAAATCTATTGGTTTCAGAGAGCTTTTATTTTGTTTCAAATTCTATTTTTGGTTTAACAATAAGTCCTACTAAATAAATAATTGGTACTTACTCATCTAAGAATAAAATAATTATTATTGAAAAAGAGCTTATAGAATTATTGGTTTATCACTTAGAGATAAAATTTAACAATTTTAGACCATCATTAAGTTTTATTTCAGATTAAATAATACTTTATTAATCAATTCAAGAAATGTAATTTGATTCATTAAATTAAACTCTTGTTCGCATAAAATTGTGATCAATTTACTCTGCGATGAACATACTACTTTTCAAATGTAGTTTAATTTATTCAAACAAATTTAATAAATCAAACCAAATTAGTTCTTAATTAAATCTTTATGACTCATGAGATCTTAATTTTCTGTATTTCAGAATTTTAATTTAATAACAATTGCATTTAAGGTTAGGTTTACACTGATGGAGAATATTTAGCTATTTTTGATTAGGAGTCAAACGATTTTTAATTGAGATAATATCACTGTAGTTGAAAGGTTACACAAGAACCATCATGAGCTGATTATTAAAAATTAAATACAATTTTTAATTTATCCTTTCGATTAAAGAAAATATGGTTTAATAGAGAATGTAATATACTTACTTTTACATTTTCTTTATTATTTAATTATCCTAAATCCTTCAACAATTATTCGTCATCTAATGTCTTAATGGAAATATTTTATATTTAATTAGATTTTTTTTTCCCCATCAATTCTTAAGAGTTATTCACCAATCAATTTTTCCCTTATTTCATCCTTTTATTTTATTATTATTCCTTCTCGTTTGTCCTAATTGATTGAATAATTCCTTTTTTATATTCTTTTAATATCTTTTAAGTTTTCGTATTGGATTCCTTCCATCACTTATCTATATTTTCATTAGTTTGATTTTTAATTTATGGATTTTCATATATACAATCCTCAAATGTGTCAGCAGTCTAAAAGTATTCAGAACTATTGAATAAAAGCTCGAAATGACTTTATATTACCTTAATAAAATGATTATCCTCTGTTAATTTTTTTGATTATTATTATTCTTAAGAGTCCAATTCAAATAACTATTTTGTTTATTTTTATATCTTCAAAATAATTTCATTATGATTCAAATAGTTATAATTCTGATTTTTCTTTTTAAATTGAAAATATATATTATTATATTTATTTATACATCTTCTCCAAAGAATCATCAATTGATTATTTAAATACATAATTTGATCTAAAATATTTTTATAAAATTGAGTCTAACTTAATTCTTGCTAGTTTTGATGTCTTTTTATTATAAATTTATTTATTAAATTCTCTCTTTGGATTACTTTATAGTAGTCACCTTAATATTATTTAATTTCTCCACTTAACATTTACCACAAAAGAATTAAATCTGTGCCTTATCTGATAAATCTAAATGTAATTATAAGTCACATCATTACTCTTAATTTGCCATCATCATAATACCATTCTATTTCTATCATTTAATAATAAATATTTGATTTTTTCGTTTATTTTACATATATATTATAGACCTTAGAATTTAGAATTCCAACTTTATTTGAACTAAGGGAAACTGCTGTAAATATTTTAATAATAAATGATTGTCAAACACGTTGAAAGTATTCTCGAAGGATTTATGAAAAAATGAAGAATTACAAGACCTTCATAAACAGTTTTACTATTTGTTTAAATCTTATAAATATATTAATATTAAGTAAATAGAAAAAGAATTCAATTCCAGATTATAGAAATATTAAAATTAGCTGTTCTTTGAAAACATTTAAAGTTAATATTTCTTAGGGAAATTAATATATCTAAAATTGAAAAGTTTTTGTATTCCTAAAGTACAAAAACTACGAATTATTTATATTCGAAGCAACCTTCTAATATCGATAAGTTTTCAAAATATTGATGATGATACTATAAGGTTAATATTATGCAGTAATAATAGAGAGTGGTGGGCTTATTTATTATTATTTTAGGTGAAAAAAAATTAATCTTAACAAACAATGAAATTAAAAATAATTAGAATATGTGTCTTAAGATCAAGAATCTCTTTAAATTAATAGAAATATATACTTTTTTTTCGATTAAAGATGTTTTATATGCAGATCATGAGATAAAATAGTATTAAAATTTTAATATTTATTAAGATATCAGAAGTATTGCTTTAACTACAAGAAGGTGAATTACATAAAATCCCTAACCATTGTTTTATGACCTCGATTTAAATTTTTTCTATTATTCCCTTTAGCTTGAATGCTCTAATTTCACAATATTTGAAAATGAAAGTATAACAATTGCCATTTCAACACCTGGCAAATAATATAATCTATAATTTATTTTATACTACTTATTGTAGCATCTTCTCCCTTTTAGATTCTTCTGTTTAAAGGAAACTTTTAGCTTAAAATTATTAAAATACATTGAAACATGACATTAAATATTTTAAAATGAGTTTTAATTCTTTTATAGTTTGATTTACCTTCCTCTAGCTTCTAATTATAAAACTTAAATAATTTTTTGAAGAGTATTTTTAATACTTCCATTTAGTTAACAGATAGCATGAATTTTTAGATTGATGATTACAGATACTCTTAATATCGTCTACCTATCCTTACTTGACCTTGTTTCTCAAATTTCCTATTTTCAATCAACAATGCCAAGTGTTCTTTTTTAGAGTTACATTTGCCAATTGATATCTCACGCCATGCTTTATTACTTTCCTATAAGAAGAATATTTTTGAAATAGGGCTGATATTTCCTCCTATCTTAATGAAAGTATTGATATTTAACAAAATTATTAATTATTATATCTTTTTTTTATTACCTTTAAAACCTAAAATTAACTTTTTTAAAGAAACATTAGAATTTGCTTTATTCTAATTCCTATAACTTTATTAGTTTTAAATTTTTAACTTTCATAACTTTAGTTTTTTGAGGCTTACTCAAAATTTTGTTTAAACAATAAATAATCAGTAATTATTAAAATTCCCTTAGCAATTAAAGGAGAATAAATCTTCATACTGCTTGAGTTGCATAATATAATCATTTATCAAAGTGTCATGATTTAAAGATTCGGTGCCTTTGCCTGATATTATAATTAATGATTTATCTTAACTACTAAATAATGGAGCTGAATTATTAACATTTGTTCTAATTAATATCTTAATACATAAGTAATAATAATTATTTCTGTTCTGAAACGATCAAAGGAAATCAATTCACTTTTAGAGGGTTATAATTACCAATTGATAAAATTATTTCATATAAAAAATAAATATACGCAAGGCTTTTGACTGAGTCGTATGAAAGTTTTTAGGTAACCTCGATATGAAAGCATTTACATTAATATTTAGCCTACATCTAATTAATGCTCATTGATTCTAACATCAATTTAATGTTCAGTAAACTTTCTAAAAAGATTCAATGCACATTTTAGCTTTAATCCTTTTTCATTTGAGCTTATTTAAACTTCCATTACTTTAAAAATTTAAAGCATATAGACTAGG